AATATTATCTGGGATTTTCTATACCGCTGATCACCATAGTATCTAAGCACTAAGCATTAACTGTTTAGGCAAAGATTCAAGAAAAACAAAACCTTTACAAAAAACAGTCCTATAGAGCAATGCTTTACTCTGCTCAGTGCTGCTTCCATTCCCCATTCTATTCTATATATTGCTTGTTTAGGATCCTAATCCCCTACTCGTTACATCTGTGAGTACATCTTACGTGTGTGAGTAGTTTTATTGACTTCAAGGAGGCAACTTGTCCAAAACAGGGCTTGTGGAATATGTCCATAGGAAGTAAGTTGTTGTCCTACCTTTGGTTAATTGCTGTCAGTGCTATAGAATTCATAGATCTATTGTTTTTACATCTTCAATTTTTGGCTGTTTTTCAATATACACAAAACAAGGCAATTTTCCTAACAGCTGAAAATTGTCAAAATTTTGCCACAGAGAAAATGTCTGAAAAAATATATAATTTATTCTGTGTTTAAATAAAATAATCTTTAAAAAAACCTGTCTCTAAAAATGACATGTCAGAGAGGGGAAAAAAATACTCATCACCCGAACTTTCAAATTCTTGTACCAAATTTTAGAGCAAAACCAGTTCAAGCTGTTTTCAATTTTAGCAGGTGATATTTCACCTCTCTAATGTCCCTCATTTCAAAAGACAGAAAGCAGTTGTTCAAGTCCCAGAACTTCCTGTTTTCCACACAGATTTGATGCTCCCGATTCTTACTGTTGAAAATGTCTTTACCTCAGAAATAAAGAATCACAAAGTGAAGTTCAGCAAGGAGAGTAACTTGCACTAGGCTCTTCAAGCTGTTTAAGTTTTCTTCATGAATAATGTTTTATATGTACAGTTCCTATTTGCGTCTTTTTTACTCATTGTGTCTCCTATCTGGGCTTTTGTCAGGCAGAAAGGTATGTATGATACCGTTCTGTGATTTTCAGTACAGCAGAAAACAGGAAGTGAAGGCTATCAGAGATAGATTGTCCTTATTACACTATCTTCTGACTTCATATAGTTTTCAGACTATACCAAGGAAGAAGAAAATTGCAGCTCCTCTCTTTACACATTTTAAAAATATGTTTTCCTTTTTTTCTTGGGCAACAAAGCCCTTCTTATTGTCCTGTGTAGCTTAACAGACCATCTCAAGAGAGCCTATCCAACTTAGCATGCTTCCCCTTTTTTAGAATAAGATGTTTAAAACCATCATACAAAATATTTATCATTTGGAACAAAGACATTAGATTTTTTTCAGTTTGGTTTAAATTCTGTTTTCCAGGCTTTTATCTTTTCACTCCAAATTTCAGTGACAATAATCAGATTTTGATTGGCATTAAAATTATTTATTGTCACACTGGAGCTGTTTAATAAATCATGTCTGCTTTTTAGTTGTATAAATGCTCCATCATTAGCTACCTTGTTGCATATTTCAAGGAAAAGAGTCCTTTCTAAAGGCCAACTTCAATGCGCTTAGCATGAGACAGGACTGTCTTTTGTGCAGCTGAAGGCTGAGAGCCAGTTGCATGTCTGTGCCTGATTTACGCACATTGCCGAGATATGGTTTGTTTTAAAATTTACTCTGTCTTATCTGATGGCATGTAAAGTACTTGTTAGCTACCTACAAGAGCAAGAGAGTTAGTCTCTATGCAGACATCAGAGTACTACTTGCTTACCACAATTACTATTTTTATTTTTTAAAATCAGGATAACAGTAGGGGTTAACTTTGTGTAATCATTCAGGCAAAAATAATTGCTTAAAATGGAGCAAAGTGAGGGAATGGCTCAAGTGTGTATCAAAAAGTCTGGAGAGGTTAATTTGAATGATTTTTTAAAATTTTGCTTTCATTATATTGGAATTAATTTTAAAAAAATGTTCGTCCCCATTTATGTCAGATGCCTGGAAAATGAAAGAAATACCTATTTACTTAAAAAAAAAAACACTCCCCCCCCCCCCCCCCCCCCGCCACTGAAATGCAGCCTCCTCTGAGATGCAATGCAGCAGCTGAACGGATTTTCAAATCTTTAACAGCAGTGTGTATGTGTGTGCATGTTCTAGTCGTTTTCTAATTGGAGCCTTTGCTCCTTTGGAGCGGGGTTTGGAAGCAGTGTGTTATTTAGTGACATGAGCTGTGGCCAAAATTCTGAAGTGCTCAGCACCCTCAGCCAAGCCATGATTTTCTAGAGAGCTTTGCTCTGATTTAGGCACCAAAATATGACATCTGGCCCGTTTGGGTGCTGAGCTGAGGCCTTTTAAAAAAAATGGGAACTGCTATGTGGTGGTGGATGGTGTTTTATTATGAGCCTGATCCAAAGCCTTTTCAAGTCAATAGCCTCCCATTGACCTGAATGAACCTTCCATCAGGCCCTGTGAGTACAGGTGGGGGCAACTGGTAGAGAACAGAGATGAGGCTCCTGTAGATGATACTGGACGGTGCGCAGTTTGCAGGAAAGCAGCACAGCTCATACGAGTCAAACAGAGGCTGATCTTGCCCCCATTGAAGTCCGTGATTTAAGTGAGAGTAGAATTTGGCCTTTGCTGCT